TGATCACCTCAGCCGTCAATGTGGGGATGCAGTTTAGGAGGCTTTTATGGGGCTGTATTCATGCACACAGCTGCCTCTGACAGGCAGTGGGAAGGTTTGGCCCTGAGAAGTCCCTGGAAAGTCAGTGATGTTTCCTTCCCCTGCAACTGCAGAGGCAATTCCAGTGCATTCTGAATTTGCACCCGCAGTGCTCATGCCAGCTCCACCTACAGCTCCCTCACCAGCTGTGGCCTCACAGCAAGAGCAGGCACATCTTTTCCTTTCTTCACCAGCTGTAGAGCTAGGTCTCCTGGTGGCTCCCCAGCAGGAGTCATCTTTTGACCTCTACCTGTCGGCAGCTCTTGACCCACACCTGCCATTCCCCTCTCTTCCAGATTTACATAACATTCTATTTATTATTATTCTATTCTGGAATGCGAGTGATAGAATTATTGTAAATGAAATTTAAGGGTTTATTCTTGTTTCAGTTGACGAGTTTGGTATGATTTAGTGCATTCTCCATATTGTTAAACCTTCACCAGTGTCCTCTTGCAGAACATTTTCATCAACTCACTACGCAAATATATTTTCTTTTATTTTCCTTCCTACTATATCCCAGCCACCACACCTATGTCCTTGTAATTTACCTTTCCTACCTTTTCCACATCACAGCAGTTGTGTTTCTCCTCTGCCTTACCCTGCTGTAAGTAACTGTTTATTCTCGCCTTGTCTGAGAAGGGAAAATCCAGACAGATTGCATTAATTTGTCATGCATGCATTCATGGACTCTTGGCGGGGCATTGTAAAAGAATTCAGGAATTCTTTGTAATTCTTAAGATTCTTTGTTTTATTAATTATGTTCCTGGCTTTATAGCCATATACACATCAAAACTGCTCCATGTTTAATTACATGTAGGTCATTTCATATCCATTTCATATGAAAGTGACTAACACCCTTTCTTTTGTTACAGAGCAGCACCATGGGAGTGTCACACCCATGTTTATTCTTTACATATTTCCAATGATAAATTATTAATTTTAATTTTTGAGTGCTTAACATGAAAACAATCAGAAAAGTAAAGTATTGTAGTTGTAATACAATCATTAAAATGTGAGGCACTGTGTGTTCCAAGGAAAATCTATAACCCTGTATAGAAAGTGCAGTGTCACAGGCAGCATGTCCATTGAATTCCCTTGTGGTTTATCTCCATGCAATGTCATGAATATGGCTGCCTATGTCCTCTTCTCTGGACAGAGTAAATTTACAGAAAGTCAGTCTAAGCATGTCAACACCTATAAGTTTTAGTTCTTAACCAGTAGTTCAAAGAACAAAACACATGAACGGGCTGTGAAGAATGGGCTGTGTTCATAAGAAAAGAAACATAATGGTCAACGAGGCAAACAAGCTGGAGAAATGAGCACTGGGAAACAGCAGAGGCATCAAGTCCCAGGTAGTAAAAATCAGCCCAGAACTCGAATCCACCAGGCTCCTGGCCAGGCTGGGGTAGATGGTGGGGACCCAAGAGCTCTACATCACTCCTCAGGCCTGGGGTGCGGTCTTCAATCACAGATCTGCTGTGTCATGGTGTAAACCCCTGCAGCCTTCACAGAGGCCAGCTGATTGGTTGCTCCAAGCTATAAATGCTCCAGGCTGAACTTATTCCCCCAAGTCCTGGCTGCACTTTGCTGCCATTGGGGCTGGGCAGCAGGAGAGTTTAGATCACTGATTCAGCAGCCACTAGGTTTCCCAGAAAGAAATAGCTGAGCACGTGGGTGCCCCAGTATGAGCTAAGGTGTAGGTCCTGAATTCGATGGATGATAGAAAGTTTTCCCATGGTCTTTGAACCAAGTAGGCCTATAATGTGTCACAGGCTTGGGGCAAGGCATCAGTGACAGTGAGTGGTGAGTTCTAAGTCCAGGCCTTGCCCTGCCCAAAGGACTGCATGTGACAATGACAATGTGAGGTAACCCAAAGATGATGGCCTTAGTAGGGATGGTATCAAATTACAGTCATGTGTAGATAGGGGCAGTGCCCAGGTGAAGAGAACCCCATGTGTCCCTCTAGTGTCTCACACCCAAGCATGCTAGAATCTCTACAGTAAAGGGCTATGTGTGTTATTCCATTCCCAATGGACATTTCAGAACCAGTGCCCAGAGAGGAACAATGCCAGTCCCAAGGCACAGGACATGGGCAGAGTAAAGAGGATGGGGGAGAAGTCCAAAAGAGAAAAACCTCTTAGCACAAGACCCATCCCACTCCCATAGGCATTAGAAAAGCAGCCCCCAAGCTCCTGGGACCTGAGCCTAAACATATGGGACTGATTTCAAGCAGCATCCCAAGGGATATACACACAAATGCACACACACACACACACACACACACACACACACACACACACATACACACAATCACACACGAATACACAGTGTTTCCATGGGCACCCACTGGGTAGCTCAAAGGAAAAGTGATATGATTCAATCAATCTACATGCCTCAAATTCTCACCTTATTCCTGGGCTGAACTAGGCTGGCACCAACACAGAACAGGACAATATGTCACTGGCCACCCAGAAGCTGGAAGGCTGGAGGAGAGGGACAAATCACTGCAGAATGTAGTGGAAGAGAAGACCCAGAGCTATATCCCAATAAAGCAAGGGCACACAGAGGTCAAGGTCACTACATGGGGGCATCTGAACAGCCTCACTGAGATGGAACTGATGCCTAAACCAGAGACATGCAGGCCCTAATGCTGTACAGAGTTGAGTCTGTGTGGCAGAATAGAGGACCAACCATTTAGAGATTCAAAGTCAATTTTTTTTTAGTCAAGAAAGACATGAGAAGGGGGAACAGAAGGCCTGGTGAGAATAAGGGAGGGGAGGAGTGGGCGAGGGACAGGGGTGGGGGCAGAACCTCACATCTGCTGTAGCGCACCAGTGACCACTGATGATTGCATGGCTGCAGACTTAGGTACAACATGTAAACTTCCGTTCTCTCAGGTTCTATGGGTCAGGCATTCAGGAGGTCCTGCTGCGGGATCCACCATAGTTTCTCCTGACCAGGCTGCAGTCTCAGCGGAAACACTGCTGTGGCAGAATCTGTTCTCAGGCTCTCTCTCTCTTGCTAACAGGCAGGAACTCAGTTAGGATGGAGGTCTGAGGTCTCCTCTGTCTGTTAACCTTTTTCTCAGCAAAGAGTCAGCCTCTCCTCAGGGAAAATGCAGAGATAGCCAGGGATTTAGAGAGGAAGACAGAATGAAACAGAGAGGCAGGAAGGAAGAACAGAGGAGGGAGAGAGCAGGAGGTTGGTCACAGTCATTTTATGGGTGAACCTTGATAGTCACATACCATTACATCTGCCATGTTGTGTTATAAAGAACAAGTAAGGAATTGGGGAGAGAGCTCTAGACAGAGCACTTGCCTACCATGCCTGAGGACCTGGGCTCAGTTTCAGCCTGGGTAATACAAACCAGAACAAACCACGCACAAGGAATGAGCTACTCAGGAGGTGGCCATCAGAAGGTGAGCTGTCATCAGTTGAGCACCCTTGCCATGGGTGTGGTGACTCACACAGGTGTGAAGGTAGGCACAGTGCTGATAGATTTTGAGGGTGCATCTGCATCCATAGTGCTTGCTTAGCCTTTGTGAAGTCCTGACTTGAGGCCACATCACCAATACATAGAAGAAATTGAGATGCTTAGGGAACATAATGATGGCTGATCTAATGAACTTCTGCCCCCTCATGATGCCTCCAGGGAAACATGTCCAGGAGGTGAGTGTAATTTCCACCACCATACAGCAGGAACCAGGCCTGTGTGCACTGTGTTCACCTCCCTTCCACCCCTTCATGGAAGTGACCTCTAATTCTGTATACTGTGTACACATGACACCAGCCCACAAGGTTTGAAAGTGTCATCTCTCACCTCTGATGATGTCCCTAGGAAGCAGATGCCATAGTTCCGGGGGACCCACTGGAAAGGAACTGAGAGGCATGGTGTCTTGTCTAAGTTGACAAGGGAAGTAGGAAGGAGGAGTTGGGTCTAAAACTAGGTCTGCTCAGACTGGGGACCTAGGATTCATTGTGGTTTTTCCTTTCCCATGGGAAATCTTTGCCTCTTGCCAAGGATCCATCACTTGGGTGGAGCTGTTGTCTTCACTCTGAAGGACAGTGGGCAGTCATTCCATGTGCTTCCATGGTATCCAGAGCAAGAATCTCTGGATGATGCCAGATGACCCAGTTCCACACAGACATCATGGAGGGAGCTGGTGGGTGACTTAAATCATCAATGTACCAGGCACTGACCATGATGCAATCACCAGAGCAGATGCAAACACTGGTCTCTTGTGCTTCCATATTATTAAGGCCACACAGCCACCCTGGAGACCTGACCAGGTACTACCCACCTTACTGTGAGTGTCCCTAATTCTTGGCCTCTGTACACATGGACATAAAATAGGGAAAAGGGAGACCCGTGAAGGCACACAGAATGGGGTGATGCATCCATATATGAACTGAAGGTGGAGGAAAGGCAGGCAGGATGCACTCCCACCATTCACTCAATTTTCAGATAGTTATAGAGCAGCACCCTGTTGAGCACCCATGATTAAATAACACTGCAGACTCCACCCGCTTTCTCACAGAGGCAATATGCCACAAGGGTGGTAAAGGGAGTTGCATTTCAGGCTTCGTGAAGAGTGGAGGACAGATGCTCACAGCACTATCCAGGGAACTCTGTCAGCAAGTGAGGGCTGATTATGGTTAGTGCACAGGATACACTGGGAGGGCAGTTTGGGAGGGAGGCCAGACCTGTAGTGCTGCTTACAACTGTCCTCCTCAGGATCAGAGTTTCCCTTCTTGGCTCCTGGCAGGTGCTGCTGAGGAAGGTGGGACAATCAGCCCAACCAAATATGATTGAGTTGGGCCAAGCCTAGCTCACTGAAAATGAGAACTACAGTGAGAAGGAATTGGCCTGGGTCTGTTGGTTTCTGAGGAGGACATGGGGCACTTTAGAGGGAGAAGGACTGTCAGACATGGGGCCTCCTGCAACACAGAGGTATGCAGAAGTGAGTGGAGTGAGGCAAAATAGGAAGGTTTCCTGTGGTGCATTAGTGCACCGAGCTGTCCCTGACAGGCCCTGGGAGGCTATGGGGCTTGCAAGGAGCAAGGACAGTTTGGGATTTTTCTAAGGCAGGGCTGGTACTGGACTGAGCTCAAGGTCTACTTATAAATCTTGTGCCAGCCTCACCTCCAATGACCTCACCAGCTCTGGGATCAACCTGGAAATGAAGGTCAGATACCCAGTCTGGTGGAATTCCAAGGCATGTCTGTCTCTGGCTCCATGGCAGTGTCCTCAGCTCCACTTAGGGCTCAAGTCTTGCAAAGTACCGGCCCTTCATTTCCCCTTCACTTTGCCTCTTCTATTTCTCTCAGTTTTTACTTCTACTTTTTAATCTATAGTTCTTTGAAAAATTAAATTCTAAGATAATTTAATTTTAAGTTAAGATTTCATTAGTTTCCACATGTTCAGTTGAGTCACAGGTAAGCACATTGTCAATTGGCACAATCTAAATCTGTACATCTGTCTAGTTCCGGCTTTCTGCTCAGTATTGGACCCATCCATACCCCTGGTCTCTCCTGCTAGTCCCCACCCACCGCTGACCTTTCTCTCACTGTGATTTACTAACCTAGGTTTTTCATATCAGTGTATCAGATTCTGTTTGGCCAAACATTCCTGGAGGAGGCTGGATGCTATTGCTGTTTGACAGAAGAGAAAACCACAGATAGACAAAGTCTATAGGGAAAATGTAGAGACCATTGTGTATGTACTCATCTTTTCATGTCGGAAAATGTTTTCCATGATTTCAGTCATATAAAGGGAGCTACAAACGGCTGATTCATTGCATTTGAAAAACAACAATAATGCAAAAATCACAACAGGAAACCTTTCTTTACAACCAGTAGTCAGATAGATGGTTTTTATTACAAGTATGAAAGAGGTCTCATGAGTCCATTTTGTGAGGGAAATGATAAATTCTTCTAACTCAAAGGGAATCACCAGGGCCAACAAGCACACAAAACACTGAGCCTCCTAAGCCTGATACATGCAGGCACACATCCCTGAAATGTGCTGTTTCCCCAACCACTGGCACATTTTAAGGCAGATGCTGAACAACAACGGGAAGGACATGTGGGGCAGAGCACAGCCCATTCTCGTAGCTCCCATCCAAGCTCTAAACAGCCTTCCCTAGCACTCCTAGGACTAAGAATAGAGTTTTCTCCCACACAGAATGTTGCACAAATATTCAAGAGTTTGACTCACATTACTCTTTGAAGCAGGAATGAACTGGGACCCTTGCTAGCCTCCATGTAGAGTGTGCACAGGAGAGTTGTCTCGAGGATGCTGTTCACTGCAGCTGGGGGGAACCTTTCCTGGGCCCCAGGGCCACAGAGCTTCAGGGTTAAGGATGATAAACTCATGGCATGACAATGTTTTCCCATGGCCAGCCAGTGCACTGGGCATCTCCACAGCAATCCAGTCCCTCCCAAAGCCAGGGACAGCACTGGGAAAGGGCATTTGGATGCCTGGGTGGCCAGGTGAGGGGCAGCCCTGCCTGACACAGCTGTGCAAAGTGTGTCCCTCTGGATCTAAACCTCCCGCAGATCCTATTTATTGCCTTCATCAGGTCTGGCAGCAATGATGTCACACTGAAGCACAGCAACACACTTGAAGTGTACTCAAACTAAATCGTTTAGCTTCCCTTCAAGAAATGACTGAAAATGCACAAGTCTGGAAAATCAAGTCTGAGAACACCACTCTGCATTTTGTATAAATAAACTGATCCTTTACAAGACATAATGGTAATGCCCCTTGGTGGGTCTGCTATGGCAGAGATGTAGACTCTCAGGAATACAGGTTTTGTAACTGCAATAGAAAAATTGCAAATAAATGATGCATGTGCATGACTTTCTGTTTGTATTGCACTGAAGGAAGGGGGATTGAGGCAGTAACCTAGATTTACTGAAGTGCCTCAGTAAACCCAGGGCACAATCCACCACATGATTCCATCACCCAATTATGAAAGCTCAGCAACTTGGTTCCCGCTTGTTACTGCTGTTGATTGACAATTTTGAGGTGTTTGTATCTGTGACAGCCATCTCTGTCTCTCTTAGCTTCTGTCCCCAGACTATGTGTAGATCAGACTATGTGTTTAAAAAGTTCCATCATGATTTCAGGACCAGTGGCAGCCTCTCATGTACTGGAAATAATTCTTCAAGTTTGGCCATAAGAAACCTGATACAATGTGCTTGAGAGGAATTGAGATTGTGTGATATACATGCAGGAAACTCATTTTGTCTGTGGCAGACTCAGCTACTACTGAAGCCCATATTCTTGAGGGAAAAAGATATGAGTTGGAGTGTTGGAAGGCACAGTAACATCCCCAAGTTCAGTTTCTGCTTTGCTTCACTCATTCTACTAAGCTGCAGAATGGATTCTGAGTGTTCAAACACATAGGGTGTGAACTGCAGCAGAAATCTGTAAAAACTTCAGTTAACTGGGGTGTGAAAAGACAAGGAAAGTTTTTTGGCAAAACACACTTCTAAATATGTATTTGAAGCATCAAAGAAACCAAGAAGAAGACAAAGATAAAGACGAAGAGGAAGAAGAAGAAGAAGAAGAAGAAGAAGAAGAAGAAGAAGAAGAAGAAGAAGAAGAAGAAGAAGAAGAAGAAGAAATAGTAGGAGCAGGTGGAGGAGGAGGAGGAGGAGGAGGAGGAAAAGAAAGAAAAACAAAAATAATGCCAATGTGTGGGGTTTTGTCTCCAATGCCTCAGCCTCATTTAGAAAGGAAAGGATCAAAATTTGCAGAATGGAAGGGTCACTGTGGAAAATGGACTTTGCACCAGGGCACTGATGTTGTGTCTGGCCCACTATGGATGTCTAATCCATAGCAGAGCCTGGAGCCTGGTGGAGGCTGAGGCCCAGACCCAGAAGTTGAGGCCCCTGGGGCTGAGGTGGCAGAGTATTTGGTGCACCCTCATGGCTCTGCCTTATTGGGCCTGCAGGGCTGCACCATGGATGCAGTGGTGGAAGTGTGTGTAATTCAGGAGGTGCTGGGCTCCTCTGCATGCTGCACACTCCCTGCTTGACATCAGCACAGGAAGATTCAAGTCCTCCTTGCTGGCAAAAGAGACTCTGAAGAAGATTCTGGGTGTCCTCTACCAGACACAGATGAGCACAGTGACTTCTCAGGTAGGGAGGGCAGGACACCCACCACAGTGGGATTTGCATGGCTTCATGTGTTGGGGGTTTAAAAGTTAGTCATGAATGATGTGTTGCCTTTCTGAATAAAAAGACTCCTTATTTTATATAATTATAAAGTGAAGCTTTAATGTTCTTCTATATGCGTATCCTACATTACATATAAAAGAATATTAAGTCATCCCACCTATTCAAGAAAATACCAACTATTTATTCTTAAGTGAATTGAACAGAAGAGAAGTAATATTGAGTGGAACACTATAAATAATGGAATGGAAAATAAAATAGAACAACCAAAAAGGCATCCCTCCCAGGATGAGAGGTCTGCCATTGACCAGCTCCTCTCGCCTGTCCTCACCTGCTGTGCAGGCCTGTGTCTCTTCACTGCTGGGTGGAGAGCCAGGACACAAGCTCTCTTCAATCTCAGGAAAGATCAGGGACATGGCCTAGGACATGGCCCTCTTTCAGCATTTTCAGTGGCTGTAATTTATAATTAACACAGCAGCTGTGCTGTGGAACATTCATGGTTTCTAACAGTTTACATCTTAACTGATTAAGAAGAGAATGCAGTGTCTGTCAATCTCATTTTTATAATGACTGTTAGAAGTGGAATTTCCAGGTTAAATATATATAAGATTAATTTGAGGATCTCAGATTTTTCACCTGAAACATCAGCATAGAGACAGAGCCTGGTAGAGGAAGACTGAGTCTGCTCAGATCTATGTGGAGATCTAAAGTCAGAGAGATGGTCCATGCAGAGGTGTAGGACACCATGGCTTAAAACGGCCTGGTGCAGGCCTCCTCATCCATCAGTAATTTCTCAGGAAAGCATCACACACTGTACGCTGCACAGGAGAGAGCTGGAATGGTTCCAGAGCTCTTCCCTACATGCCTGAGGCCCCCTCTCTCACTCAGGGGAGCTCTGTATGAGGTCAGTCTGTTACAGAGCCCAACTTGACTGAATGTTTTCCACCCAGGTGCAGATCTGAACTGCCACATGTGGACTCACCATAGTTATGGAGCATGACAGGTGTTTACAGGGAGCAGGTCAGGAGATGGGGACACTGCAGGCAGGTCAGGGTATGAAGCCTTAAATAAGAGACATGCCCTCACCAGCCCCAGTTTCCTCCAGCATTAACCAAACCCTGCAAGAGTGTGCATTAAAAACTGAGTAACTGAAAGGAGTTACTCACAAAATTATATATTATAGAGATAGTTTGAAGATGCAATATAAATGGAAGCATTCGTAAGTAAAATGAGATGTGACCCTTAATGGATATGTGGTGTCCATTGATGTCCCCAGCCACATGCATCAGAAGGAAACAGTCTGATGAACAGAGCAATAAGGAGCACAGGCAATGGGTAAATATCACAGCTTCTTAATAACAACAACAAAGCTGGGATACAAAAAGTGCACTGGTGAATTTTATCCAGTATATAATAAAGAATAAATACTGATTTTTTTCAGTTCTTTGATGAAGTTGAAGAAAAACCCACCACCAACTTCTTTTAAGTGACAAAGGTAAAGTTACCCTGAGAATGAAGCCAGACAATAATGTGTTAAAAATAATATAAATGAAAACACTCTGTTGGCTAATATTCCTACCAAACATAAACAAAAGTGTTCAGCTAAATGTTTGCAATGTTATCTCACCAGCATATTCAAAATTAACCAACATGATCAACACTGGACTCAATCTCAGTGGTGCAAGAATGGTCCCTCTCTAACAAACTGTTTCCACTGGTTTTAACATGTTGTATCTTACTATATTTTACTATATGTGATAGTATAAAGAAAAATTTTATAGGCAAGGAGATAATATAGAAACCATTGTTCGTTTTCTGTTAACTGGTTCTAAATACCCTGTAATTCTTTCATTCTGTTGAATGGCTTCACACTGTCTTGATATGTTTGATGCTATTGTATACGAAGTTATACTCAAATAATTCAAGGAATGAGGCACTATGGTGACTACTATTATGTTAGATTATCTGGGAGTGAAACACAATTATGCTTAAATTGTTCCATTCTGACCAGTGTTGTTCTATTACAATATCCTCTTTTATCTCAATCTCCACCCGTTTTTTAAATTAAACTTTTTTATTTTTTTCAATTAAGGGAAAACTAAATTTAAAAATAGCGGGATGTATTATAGTAACTATTAGTTTTCCTATTAACCTGATTTGAACCCCAGTATTGCTCTCCACATCTTGTTCTGTCTGATTTTACTATATTCTATTTTGTTTGATAATATCAAGTTTGAGTGTATAGACAACCACTTTGAAAGCCATAAGATTTATTATGATGGCCCATTATAGTTTGACTATTATCTTCTTTTGAAGTCTTGCAAGGTTTCCAGTGTAGGTTTTTTTGGTCTTGTTCTGTACGGTTTTGATCAATTCTATTATACCTGATGATATAGCAACTCTTTTTAAAAATAGCAAGAGGCACCATGGTAACCATTTTTGATCATCTGATAGTCTATTTTTGCATCATGTACTATGCCCATCCTTCTGTTCTAACTGTCTCTGTTTTATTTAGTCATGTTAGGATTTATTCTCTTCAAAAAAATGTAATAAGAACTGTGGGAGTAAAAAAACTCAAAACGTGTAACTGTTATTGTAAAAAAGAGAGGAAAGGAAGGTGGTCTAAGGGATATAACTGCATGCTTGAGTGTGTAGGATGGAAAATCATATTACTCAGCTTTTGTTGGATCACTGAACAGAACCTTCTGCAATCTCACTGTATGAATGTCCACTTTATATGCTTTAATTTTATAATTTGGACAACTGTTTCTAAGATGACTGAAAGGGTTTTGGCCCAGATAGGACACTGTAGCCAGGAAAGCCACAACCGGAAGCAGGAAGCCCCATCTCCCCTGCCCCTAGGAAGTTACCTGTGATGCCATCTTCCCACCCCTGGAAATTTACATAGGGCGCCAAACCTAAGACCAATGGACTACCTGGGTATCCCTAATGCCCGCCTTAGGTTCCACCCCAAACCAAGCCTATTTACAAGCCCCCATGTCACGTGTCCGCCGGAGAGATCACTTGACGCCAGCGGTGGGGGTGCCTGTCATCTCTCTCCGTGTTCTCAGAATAAAGGCCACTTTTTATTTTATATTTCTCATCTTTTGTTAATATTTTTCATCTTTTGGAAATAACCCTAGCAATGACAATATGTAACCTATTAACTAGTGATTTCTTACTGTATTTTTTCTTGAAATTCTGTATTACTTGTACCCTTTTACTGCTTTGTTTTTTATTTCCTTTCTTCTCTTTAATTAAACAAATAATCAAACCTGGAATGGATATCTTTTATTTATTTATTTTTTTGGCTCTGGAGATCAAACTCATGACCTCACACTTGCCAGGCAGGTGCCTTAAGCCACTGAGCTAAATCCCCAGCCCACCAATGGATATCTTTTACACCTTGTCATCTTCAGAGTAGTTGCCTCTGCTCTTGAACTTGATACCAGCAAGCATATCAAATGTGAATAAAATCAGTCAAGGCCAAATAACATTGAAACAATCCAGCTTCAAAGAAGATCAGTCATAGAAGACAATGTAAGTAATATAGGGATTCAGTTTTAGTTAATAGGAAATTAAGGATAATTACCATGGTATAACCTGCTATTTTTGGGTTATCTCTCTGTGCCCTCAAATCTAATATGAGTAGACAGACCAGAACAAAATATAACCAAACTATACAGAGCAACAAGACTACTGTAGCTTTTAAATCCTGATACACTTTTAACTATGTCCTCTGCCTTCTTTTTTAGGCAATTCCTCACCTTTATCCTTCTCAGGATACTATTATTCACTGTTCAGAATGATATTAGTCTAGTCTCTTATGTTCCATTTCAGCATACATAAAGATAAAGACAGCTACTACAAAGACCATGACAGACATTATTGTAGTCATTATCGACTTCCCCCAAATCAGTCTTGAAGATCAAAAAAGCTTGCATCATCCTGTAATTACTTGATTAGTTCTATAATATTCAGTATATATTCAAAGTGTGTGAGGATGGGAACAACTATTTGGAAAAAAACTAGAGACAGTAAAATAGACAGTGAACATTTCCAGTGGACTTGCTTTGAAATCTGTGTTTCCTTAACTTGTTTCCTTATGAACTGTTTTGCTCTGTTTTGCTATGTTTAATCTTACCCTCTTTAAGAAAAAAAAGTGTGTAGGACAGATAGGCATATTAATAACTTTTTGGTGGATCATTGAGGTGAACCGTGACAGTGTCATTATTTGAATATCACTTTGTATGCTTTCAATTTGTAACTTGAACAACTACTTCTAAGATGACAATATAATACTAATCAACTAGTGATTTCTTATTGTTTATTTTTCTGAAATTCTGTATTATTTCTACACTTTTTTTTCTCTTTAAATAAACAACATTACAATTCAGAAAATACAAAATTTAACTTCTAAAGACAAAATATTAAGTATGAAGGCACTATCCATACTTGAAAGTGAAAAGCCCATTTCAGTTTAGCATGTTTAATTACAAGATGCCATGTTGAAGCACAAAAACATCTAGATTAATAAATCTAGAGAGGTACAAGTGATTAACTGAAAACCATACAACATGTGCACCTAAGGAGAGCCCCACCACAGATTTGTCATTTCTGGAATATTTGTGAAGAAATATTGACATCTAACTTCTGTATTGATTATTTCTTCAGGTCTCCTTGGGATTTTTAAAGTAAACTTAGATCTAAACTGTCTGAACAGTGATGCTTTTTCTATGTATTTAACAAGAAACATGGATTGCTATATTTCTCACATTGGTAATCCACATATCATCTCTGCCTAGTGAGCTCTTTCAGATATGTAACAATGATCAAGTATGCTGAGAGTATTCCCATAACACAAAGGGTTTATCTCTTGTGTGAGTTTTTTTCATGTATTTCCCTTACAATCTGGCTGCTGAAAGTGTCTCCATTTGCTTACATAGCCAGTGGTTCTTCCCAGTGTGAATTTTTTCATGTGTTTTGCAATGACTATATGCAGTAAAAGCTTTGCCACATTGTTATACATATAGGCTTTCTCACCAGTGTGAAGTCATAGATGTATTTTACAAAATCCATGTGTGGTGAAAGCTTTCCCACATTCTTCACATACACACAGGGTTTCTCAACCATGCAAATTTTATAATGTATTGGACAATGAGCATTTCTGCAGAAACCTTTCCCACATTCCTACCATATGTAAGTTTTCTGCCCACTGTGAAGATTTTCATGCATTATGCAATATATACCTGTGCTGAAACCATTCTCATGATGCCTATATACACTGGTTTTATATTGAATGTGAACTTTCATGTTTCTTACAATCTCCCTGTGTTTTAAAAGCTTTCCCACATTGCTTACACACATATGCTTTCTCTCCAGTGTGAATTCTTTCATGAACCTTACAATTTGCACGTGTGTTAAAAGCTTTCCCACATTGCTTACATACATATGGTTTCTCTCCTGTGTGAATTCTTTCATGTTCCTTACAAAATCCAGGTCTGGTAAAAGCTTTCCCACATTGCTTACATACATAGGGTTTCTCTCCAGTGTGAATTCTTTCATGAACCTTACAATTTGCATGTGTGTTAAAAGCTTTCCCACATTGCTTACATACATATGGTTTCTCTCCTGTGTGAATTCTTTCATGTTCCTTACAAAATCCAGGTCTGGTAAAAGCTTTCCCACATTGCTTACATACATAGGGTTTCTCTCCAGTGTGAATTCTTTCATGAACCTTACAATTTGCATGTGTGTTAAAAGCTTTCCCACATTGCTTACATACATAGGGTTTCTCTCCAGTGTGAATTCTTTCATGTTGCTTACAGTATCCCCATGTGTTAAAAGCTTTCCCACATTGCTTACATACATATGGTTTCTCTCCAGTGTGAATTCTTTCATGTTCCTTACAAAATCCAGGTCTGGTAAAAGCTTTCCCACATTGCTTACATACATAGGGTTTCTCTCCAGTGTGAATTCTTTCATGAACCTTACAATTTGCATGTGTGTTAAAAGCTTTCCCACATTGCTTACATACATATGGTTTCTCTCCAGTGTGAATTCTTTCATGTTCCTTACAAAATCCAGGTCTGGTAAAAGCTTTCCCACATTGCTTACATACATAGGGTTTCTCTCCAGTGTGAATTCTTTCATGTTTCTTACAACATCCAGGTCTGGTAAAAGCTTTCCCACATTCCTTACATACATAGGGTTTCTCTCCAGTGTGAATTCTTTCATGATTCTTACAATCTCCCTGTGTTTTAAAAGCTTTCCCACATTGCTTACATACATATGGTTTCTCTCCAGTGTGAATTCTTTCATGAACCTTATAACTTGCACGTATGTTAAAAGCTTTCCCACATTGCTTACATACATATGGTTTATCTCCAGTGTGAATTCTTTCATGTTCCTTACAATATTCAGGTCTGGTAAAAGCTTTCCCACATTGCTTACATACATATGGTTTCTCTCCAGTGTGAATTCTTTCATGTGCCTTACAACGTCCAGGTCTGGTAAAAGCTTTCCCACATTGCTTACATACATAGGGTTTCTCTGCACTGCAATATTTTTCATGGATCTGAACATCATGGTGTGTTTCTGTTTCTTTCACATTCACATTACCTTCTGCATTACAAAGAAGTACTTCTTTACACTGCTTCCAAGATGTATGTCCATAAGATTTCCCTAGCTTGTCGTTTCTGGAAAGAAAAAATCACATATAGGATTTATAACCATATTACTAAGCTTTTTTCGAGAGTTGAACAAAACTGTTTGCAGTCTCATTGTTTGAATCCCCACTTGATATGTTTCACTTTTGTATTTCATGACTATTTCTATGATCAGCATTTGTAATCATCATCTTGCTATTTGTTACTGTTATTTTTCACTTTGAATGCAGTATTATTTCTACTTATTTTGTCTTATTTAATCTTTCCTTATATTAAATTTAAAAAAAGAAAAAATTCACTGTGAAATTGGTCTCCGTTTAATGACTGCATTAATATCAAGTTCTGTGTTTAATGCCTGCTAAGAAATTCTGACCAAGAAGCAACAGAATGGCCTTGTAAGATATGTTGAAAACAACCATTCCCAAAAGACTGGTACACATTTGGAAATCTTAAAAGTTGGTACTTTGAAATGCATAATCTTTACCTTCACTTTGGGAATGGGTACATATATGTATCACATGCAGATTATTCTCATATGTTTCCCCATCACAATCTTCCTTCTGTCCTTAACTTGTAGTTCCCTTTTCCATCTGGTCAGTCTTACTTTTCTCTAACAACTCTGTTTCATTTCTTTCCACATTTTGTATTTTGGTTTCTCCTCTAAAAGAAAGCCAGTGACCTTTTAGGTTTTATAGCTGAGTTATTTCACTGAATTGATGGGTGAAAGACCCATCTAATTCTTATGGCAAATGACATTATATTATTTATTTTTTGACATTATATAACACATTTTTTCCATTCTGGGCTGGGAATGAGCAACATATATTAGCATAAATCTATAGCTTTTTAAAAATCTATTTTAACAGATTTTCATAGATCATTAAGCTGTGAAGTTTGAACTTGAAATTGCCATTCTGCAAACAGATTTGCAAACTCTAGTGTGCTGGGTTTACAAGAATGTAAAATCACAGAGAGTCTATTAAAATTTTCCTTCTCCACAAATCCAGTAATACATAGATAAGCTTCAAGGCCTGATCTGTCATAACTTGATCTGCTTTGTATATGACTAAGCATGTATCAGTATTTTATGCAGATTTTGAGATTTTAAAAATATCCAGGACAAGTATGAGGGGATCAGTTTCTAGAGACAACTGCATACTGATATTCAAAATTAGTGCACTAACATTCCACCAGCCTACTAAGAATATTAGTCAGAATCGCCGATTGTCTAGAGCATGGCTTGGAAACATGAGCACTCAGTTTTATTTCACATTCTATTGCAATCTTAGCAATTGTTAGATAATGAATGTGTTGTATTCACATGTATATATGGGTAGAAAAACTGAAGGCAGAATGTCATAACTCAAAGTGCATGCCTTTCGTACAGATCTATATGCAATGTCATACATTTTCATGATTTAATTCCCTCATATATACACTAGCTTATACATCTTTGGAGAATATTACTGACATTAAATTGAATGGTGCCTCATTTCTTTGGTGGTCATTTTTCTGCTGACTCACTAATTACTCAAGAACATTCCTCTCCTTGTGAGTGTGAATTACCTTAAGTATCTCCAGTAAATTTTGCATTCTTTTTCAGCTTCCTGGATATCCCCAAGTCCTCCTGAATTGTAGACATAGAAATACCAGGACTCAGTTGAGTAATACATACAAATTAATAGATTTTGTTTAGATTTATGATATAATGTGTCCAGGTCTGAGCTATTTTTAAAAATATTTTCATATTCTTTTTAACAAAACAGCACTAATGAGCAACAAACAATATTCTGACAGCATGAGTGCCAAAAAAGATTTCATCCTTACCTATTGCAGCCATGTTCCTAAAGATTTCACCCATCACATCTCTGTAGAGGTTCTTTTGGGATGGACTCAGCAAACTCCACTCCTCATTGCTGAAGTTCACAACCACATCCTCAAAGATAACCGCCTCCTAAAGGATCATACATATATTTCTCAAAGGAAGCTTGAGACCCCAGGTTTGCGATATCTTAAATTCTCTCCTACAAATCTGAATCAAAAGCAAAGTGTGGTGGTGCATATCTATAATCCCAGCACTCAAAAGGCGAGACAGGTAGGCATCAGTGAGGTCAGGCCAATTCTAGGCTCTATAGGGTGTTCAAATCCAGCTGATATACATACAGAAAGCTTGTCTCAATAAAACAAAACTAAACTAAACAAATACAACCAAACAAAACAGCTGAATGAAGACTGATTTCTTCCAATTTTAATCCATGTCTTGGTCGTTAATTTTGTGTCTATATACATTTTTGAAGACAGCAAATTTGATACTAGATTGCAACTCACTGCTAATATAACAGACAAATAGGAGCACTGATTCTTGTGCTGAGTCATGGCAAGATTCCCTGTGCTCTTTCTCTAAAGCAGAGCTCACAGTGAGAAGCCTGCAGGACCAGCAACCACAAAGCACAGAGGCAGATAAATGTCTCATCAATTGCCTTGGAAGCCAAGCAAGCACCTCCCCTCCCTAGTCAGAGGTGGCAGTCTGGAAAACTGCAGCCCTTCCAGGGGGATAACCAGCAGCAGCTCCTAAGATCCGTTCTATGTTGGAACTTAGGGCGCTGTGAAACCAAACAACCAGCCTGTCTCCCTAGTAAGCAACACTGAACCTACTGATGCACCACCTAGAATCAAACACCCCACTTCCCTACCCCTCTTCTTCTGTCACCCCACATTAGCAAATGGGAACCAGAAATCTGAGCATCTCCTGGGAAGTAGACCATAGCAAATAAGGGGGACTTCCTTCTACTATCTCCTTGAAGGAAAACATTTTTATTATTGTTTCACTCTATTCTGATTAATGGTACTGCTCAATTCAATATTCTGTTTTGATAAGTTCTATAATGTTCTGCATTTCATCTCATTTTGATATATGTGATTAAAGAATAACTATGATAAAGATAACAAAATATACTGTGATACATATTACTGTTATCCCAGTAACCTGTTGTGAAGTTGTGTACCAATTTCACTGTGTGATCTTAGTTGACCTTAAGCTGCCTTGTTCTGTTCTATTTTACCAATTTCAAAATTAAATAAAAAATCTCAGTAATCACGTTGATAGACTACAGATGATGTCTGTTCAAATCTCATTGAGGCCAATGAGTACTTTGTTCTTAATATACTTAAGCAGCATTTTGAAACATGAATTTGGTTTCATAGAACAAAACATAAATAACATCAAATATGGTATATAAATAATAACTCAAGTGTTAATGGAAAACAGCTGTATTTTAAAAATATGTATATAAAATGAAACCAGGCCCAAGCTGTAAATTAAACATCACTGTCACCAAGTGATCACTTTCAATTCAAATATAAGAAATATATCTTGGGAGGCTGGTGAAGGATTTCTTCCTTGAATTTGGGGCTTTCCTAACTTACAGAGCTGTCTAAAATAGAAACCCCTGATTGAGACACCAAACAGACAAAGTGAAACTTAAAAAGAGACTGCATAACCCACCTTTGGTTAGTTTTAAAAAAATTATAGCCACACAATACAGAAAAATTCCAACAATAGTCAACACTTTCTCAGAAACAATGTGGATATCGTCCATAATACAAGGAAAATATTTTCATAGTTGCGTATTTAGCTCAGTGTCATGAACACCTGCCTGGAAAGCATAGGTCATGCGTTTCATCCTTGGTACAAAAAAATTGAAAATTTCAGCTTCATGAGAATGGGGCATAATTAGAGATAATCAAATTAGATCTCAAGTATGGAACACAAAAATTATGGGTTGACAGGGATGTGGAATACTGATTGTTGCCAGAGCTGGTGTTGATCACCTCAATGAAGCAATCAGAACCCAACTTAACTTCACACTTACTCTAAGAACTACCTGACTTTCAGTGAAGACGCTCTCTGTTGTATGTCCTGCGATTTGCTGCCTGGATCCTGTCACCCACTTCCACATCTTTTCCACACTCCTCTGATCCATCCTAAGCAGAAAACCCTTCATGCCTAACTATCGATATCACTGCAAAATTTCTATTTAGGGCTTCTCATTTGCACCACTTAGATAAGTCCACTGTAGAGAATTTCCACATTTAAACTGTCTATTAACCAAGCTACTAAATCAGCTCTTAATTCAGAGGTGACACCCCTATTCCTTTCCATTCAGAAGGGCATCACATGTATATGACCATGCAAATGTGTAAATTTTGGCATTTTTCGATGAGAATTTAAGAAGTAGCCCTTTCTGGAATTTGTCCTTCACAAATTTTTACCCCGTCCTTGATAACACATTTTACTTCATTTTTCTCAGACTTCAAAACTCTATGGCTGTTCTCACAAACCTAGTCTGTGAGCAAGGGTGCCACCTAAATAATTAAGTATGTTCAGAAATTATTTTGCACTGATCTGTATAATACACAGGAGTTCACCAGTTGTTTCCGAAGCCTTTCTCTGCTGAGGCACAGTACTACATATCTCTGAATTCTCAGACCTTTGTCACTACCTGTCATGAGGATGGAAATAGGAGAACATACTATAAATTTAGGAGATCACTATAAATACAAAAAAGCCCAAGTTTAAGTTGAGCCATTGTGGCTATGAGGCCCTGCATTACATACATTAATAAACTCTGGACATTCCAGATCTGTTACTCTGCAGAAAGAGAGCATAGACCTAGATCATTACTGCTCTACAAGCTACAAAAGCATCATAGTCAGGGTCTTCCCAAGCTCCGCCCAATGACTAAGATGGTGGACTTACAGGCTAGCAGTGAATTTCAAAGATGATACTTGAGTCTGCTGCTGTCATAGTGAAGCCAGGGTTCTGGGGACCCCAAATTACCCTTGCCAACAGCAAGAGGCAAAAGGAATAGTGAATGACCCATGGCCAAAGCTGGAGGACCTCAGGAGCTGGAGCTAACTGAATACCTGAGGCTCCAGACACTGGAACTACTGCTAAACACTTGTAACTGATTTTGCCCAATCCACGCTATTTCTGGGCGCCTATCCACAACCTCACCATTCCATGGCTACAGGATCTCTCAGGTTCTTTGCCAAGCAGGCAACAGGACATCAAAAGTACTAAATGAGATCCAGCAAGCATTTTGCTACCACTATTGTACTCAGAACAGGTGAATCATGCTGAGAAACCAGAACAGACAGAAGTCACAGCCAGCAGTGGCCCACCTGATTGGACAGTTCATATCGCCTGCCCCTTCATCACTGATTGACTCCTGCTCTACAGCCCTCCTTCTGAGTCAAGAATAAACAGAGAAAGGAGCCCCTCTCTGCGAGAGAGGATCCCAAATAATAGACTGTATTGCAGAGACTTCTGGAGCTGCCATTCTTCTACAGTGGTGATCTCAGCTCGACAGAGGAGTGTTTGTACTGAAGAGCTTTCCTCAGGCTTTTAATTTTCAAATCCATTTGATTTCAAGGAAAAAAGAACACATCAACTAAAATTAAATTCCAAAACATGTCAATCAGGGGGCAACAATGGTATATACATTGCACACTGTCATCCCCAGAACATTCACCCAGAGCACAAGACATCTGTACTCAATTTTCTAAACAGTGCTGTTAACAAGGTCCTGAGTCATTTAAATACTATTGGCATGAGACATGGCTGGGTCCCCCAAGGAGCCCATGCAGGAGACCAGATACCTTGCAACTATGGCGTAGACTGACACCTCATGCTATGGGCCAAGGCTCAAGACAAATGATAAGCAAATTCATCCATATCCTAAGGATTGATATTCTAAATAGTTCCCTAGCACTCTGAGGAAGTCAGGAGTCACCATTTAAAGAAATGTATCCTTATCCTAAAGATTGACATTCTAAATAGTTCCTATCATCCTGAGGAACTCAGGAGTCACCCTCCCAAACCCCTAAGGGAAGAGACACAGTTGCCTAAGAATGCCTGCTTTCTATGTCACTCCCTTCCCCCTTTGTTCCCAATTAAATCAACTTTACCTGAACTTATAATCTTATTGGCTACCATAACTCTGTCCCATCTTATGCCCATCTGCATTGTGAGTTCCTAGTTTTCCCCACCTTAAACTCACTTCACCACATGATTTTACTCTATAAAGGTCCCTAGAATGGACAGTGTTTGGCAACCTGCTCAGGATACCTTCTCTCTCTCAGGCAGCTTTTTTTCTCTGAATAAGTATAATCTTCTCTTAATCTCTGTTGTTCCTAAAATTCATTCTTTGACTTTACAGGACAAAAACCTAATATCAGACATAGTAGACCGGGAGATTCATTTCAGGATAACAATATCAGTATAAACGTTTCTCTTTCTTGAAGTCAGAGAAATCAGTAATTGTTTGTATCACACATAGTTGATCTCACCATGCCATGAATACTTGCATTGAAGGCTTTAACCCTGCTTTTAAGTGTTGCTTCTTTTTCTGAAACTGAACTGATCTGTAATTTTGGTTATGGTATTGACAATGCATTAAGAAATTGACTCAAAATATTTCTTATGAATGGTTTACCAACAGCCATGGAGAAAGACAGATAGCAAAAATTCTTTGTTTTGATTTCTTCATTTAAACCAAAGGATGTACTTGAAAGAGCTTTGCCCTTCAAACAATTACAGGACCTCATGGTTGTAGTTCAAGGTAGAAGAATGTGAAATCAGGGATGCTTACTCATATGGCCACTTCCTCTTTTCTCCTTGAATACAACTTCCTCTTGCTTTCCCAGGGGCCTAAAGAAAATTCCCATCAGCTCCTAGCATGACATCAATGTCCCCTCCAAGCACCACATCCAGTCAAAAGTCACATATACCCCATAAACCCATAGTCAGTGGGGGGGGGGGAGCCAAACCCTTGGTGGCTGTGAGCTCCTCTCCACATTCTTTAAATAAAAGGCCAGTTTTACATTTCTGATATTCTGCTTCTCTATTGTGCTAATTTAACTCCTCAGTAATCTAACCCACTTTAAACCTATCTCATCACATGATTTTATTCCATAAGGTCTCTAGAAAAGACACAGTCTTTTGCTACAAGCTCAGAATCCCTCCTGTTTTTCTCAGATAGAAGCTTTCAGATAGAATTTTTGGTGTAGTAAAAAAGAGAATACAAAGTCAAAATGGCCTTTATTCTAAGTATATGGGGAGAAACCCATAACCACTGGGGGTCTGGCATTTTCTTCTGGAAATATGTGGGTGGCATACATATAGTTTTTGACTTGGGTGGTGCTTAATTAAAGGTGGCATTGCTGATATGCAAGTAGTTGATTGAGATTCTTTTCTGGCCACAGGTAGGTTGAATAGGGGAAAGGAAAGTGACTTCAAGGTAAAAGTCCCCTGGTTCCACCTCCCAATTCCAAAATATCCTATTTAGAGCAAAATACTTTCACTTTCTATCTCTCAATAAATATATTCTGCTCTTCAACTCTGTTGTTCCTAAAATTCATTCTTGCACTTTAGCGAACACAAACTCATACCAGACATAGAAGTTCAGGAGTTTCATTCCACTATATCATGGCATGGTTGCCTGTATTTCTAACTAACTCAGCTGCCTGTAACTTTAAGAATTGTTTATCAATTTGACTTGGGGTAATTGTAGCAAATAAAATGTTCTTAATGGATATAGGGAAATATATCACTAAATTGAAAAAAATGATTATCACAGTTTTTCTAGCTAGCATCAGCCAACATTTTCAACTTTCAAGTATATGGGAAAACAAAAAATAAAAACAACTCAGAAAATAGCAATCCTGTAGGGTACAGTACATCATTTACTGTAATTGCCATGTTATCTGCAGGTATTTCATAGACCACAAAGGAAACATTAAGCCTATTAATTAACAAGTATCAGTTTCAATAAATGTGCTCATAGCACTGCATCACTGACAAATGCGAGTTTTTTTTTTTTATGAGGGATTGAACTCATGACCTTGTGCTCTCCAGGCAGCTTCTTGTATCACTGACCTTAATCCCCCGAACCAACAACTTTAGATACTAAATATGACTATTAACAATGTTTAATTTGCCCTTGACATATTTAGTTATAAATTTTGTAAACTTACATTTTCACAAATGAAATGATTTTCTTTCCTTGCAGTTTAAATTACTTTTGTTTATAGGTACCAGGGATCAAAGTTACAACCTAGCACTTTCCAGGCAGACGTTTCTGCTTGCTGAGCTTAAAGCCCTGGCCTGTATTAATGAATATTTTAAATGTATTAACATCACTTTATCCATTCAAATACTATTGTGATTTTAGCAAAGGATGTCAATGTAGACAGAAATTGATATACAATCATAGAGGAACTGGAACCTTCAAGAGTCAATGCAAAAAACTAATACAACAATCACTGCTACAGGCACAGTTGAAGAAAGCCAGACCTGAAGGTGAAGATGAAGTGACCAGGTCTACATGCTCCTGAAGAGAGAAACAACAGCTTGAAATGTACTATAGTTACCACCACCTCCTCCAGGAAGTTCAGATGGGCATCAATCACCATAGTCAATGACCAGAACAACTGGACTATTGTTCCCACAAAATGCCTTGGCTCTTCCCACATACCTTTTCTGGCTGACTTGTTCTCCTGATGAATAATATTAGTTAAGCAGCCATAAGTTTATAGGTTGAATGTAGTCTGAGACCCACACTGTACCCACATTGTGGCTTTCCTGTATAAATGACCCCTGACAATAGGTCTGTGGACAAAACACTGAAGACCACTCCTGAAAATTCAAGGCTATTCTTCTCTCTTTTTTCTAAGAAAATTTTTGAACCTCTTTTGGTTTGTGACTTCCTTTCTCAATGTTGTGAGCCATAAAACTTGGTGCATTTGACATCAAACAGGGCAGGATTATATTTTTCTTATTTCAATTTAAATATGAAATTCTGCTAAAGGCCATGTTCCAAAGCCTGGATTTCAAGCTGCTTGTTTGCCATGAATTTAAGATTTCCATGAGCTTTTTTTTTTTTTTTTTTTTTTTTTT